CAGGAGGGCATGTGACAAGAGCTATCTCCCCAGGCAACATTAATCGGGTGCACATTTCAAACCCTTCAGGCACCTAGAACATTTAAGCATATTGAAACATTAACATATTTAATATTAAATAAATAATCAAGTATTGTCATGATCAGTTGATAAGATGTACAAAAAAAACATAGACAAATTATGGGACAGAAAATAAAGTTCAGGTCTTAAATGTGGCTTACCAGGCCTTCCCCTGATCTGAACTCGAATGGCTGTCCATTATTATCGATTTTTGTGTCATAAAAAACAGTTTTTTCTTCATTGAGAAGCATCGCCTTGTAGTGGACATGTAACAGGCTGTCTTGAAGAGGGCAATCCATGGGAAAGTCACCTAGTTGTTATTTGAAGAAACATAAGGATATTTTAGCAAAATTAAACTGAAAATGTAGCACAATATTATATACAGTAAACAACATAATCATATTTGCTAAAATTTGAGCAGCACCTCTTCCATCACGTAATCGGCGTTTGATTAATCTTCCATCTCCAAGCACGTCACGCACCTGAAAATTCGAGAAAATTCAACTAAAAAGATGCCCACAAAATAATCATATTAATGACCAATCCTAAAGGGAAAAAGATACCAACATTACCTGAACAAAGTGCACTAAGTCCACTTCAAAGTGGATTTCGGCAATATCGTCAATCGAGGGAATTAGGGGACTTTGAGTTAAATAATCCTTTGTTACGTAGATTACCGCCTTTTCTCCCCGTGACATTGTTCCAATTCCCATCTCGAGACCTTTCGGAATCTGATTAGAAAGAAGAACAACAGAGGTGTCTAAATTCGTATACTTTTCTTTTCAAACCAGAATGTATTTACCGAAATCTTAAGTAAAATTTCAAAAGTAGGCCAAACTGTATGAACAATATGGTGTGTACCTCAGATTTTCCAAATGTAAAGAAGAATGGTTCTCCTTGAGTATGTGAAAAAATCATTTTTCCATCAGCTGACTTACCCGAAATCCTAGAAGAATCGAAGATAAAGTATGTTGATAATCAAATCAATAAAATAATAGAAAGAGATGAGAAAGCTAAAAACAAGTTAATACCAAGCTTTAACTTCATAGGGTTCCCTTGGCTGTTCCCAGCCTTGCCCTTCTTCCTTTACCTTCTTTAACACACCCAAATCCTCTGTGATGATCTGAAAAGTTTGAAAATCAATATTCGAGTTAGCATATATGAGGTAGACAGTCCCAGCACTCAATATAGACTTGAGATAACTTTCAACTGAGGGGAAAATAATGTGAGAAAAATACACTTTTCCAAGTGAACAAACTTTTGAGCAAGGTAAAAACTTCCCCACAAAAAAAAAGAAGAAAAATAGATATCCTCGAAATAAAATAGTAAAAACTTTCCCACAAGCATTTTAACTTTAGAAATCCCACAAAACTGTGAGATTATTTGAATATAGCAATCAGAAGAAAATATATTGGGTGCATTGCCTTTAAGAATTAGAGTTAAAGTACAACATAACTAGTATATTTATTAATGAGTTAAGTATTCAATTCAGAAATTAGAAAAAAAAAAAAAAAC